CAAAAAACAGGAATTGCAACATCTCTGAACTGCTGGTTCTCAACTGCTCAATACTGTTCTTTGTAAGGAAACTTCTATTTGTATTTTAAAGATACGGTTTTGTACACAATTCAGAAAAAAAAAAAAAAGCTTGCTTGTTCGGAGGTAAATCCTACAAGCCGTTTGCAAATAAACTTTTATAATTCTGTTGTGATCCACTGGAAGGTTTTCAACACCAAGGCTACTCAAATTTCATCCACAGCTGTGTCCCTTTTCAAGACGCTAAAGCCTTTTTTGTGCGGGGCTGACCCATTGTGTACAGGGCGTATTAGGAGGGCACAGTCCCACAGGTTTCTGATGTACCTGCGGGAGGAGAGCCATTGATGTATTGTACCAAGAACCGTCAGGTGTATGGGTGTAGCCTTCCAGAAGCATTTCTCTCAGGAGGTTTTGAAGTCACTGCTCAGTTATCCACGTTCTCAGCCACTTCAGGTTCTTTTTGGCTGAATTCTACTACACAGGTTTTGTTTTGAGTACTGATTAGAACCTAGTTTTTCAAAATATCCTTTAATAAAGACGCCAGTTCAACAGGACATGGACTTTAGGCATACATGCGAAACAAAGGGCCACCATGTCAGGAGGTGTGGTTGGCAGCTCACGCCCGGCTCCTCCGATGCCGCTCTGCCCAGTGCGGAGCGATAGGAAGCAGCGATGAGGCGGCAGAGGCCTCGCCACGGGGTCATACCCTGCTGAGGGCCCCCCAAACCCTCAGGCAATCGCATGGCACAATGTGAATCAAAAGAAGGGCTCTTCCCACCCCAGGACAACCGATTTCTGGTGCAGCCCTTTCTATCGCTGCAGCTTCTTGACTTACATCCTCAAGAAATAACCCAAACTTACATTGTAAATTATTTTTGAAAAAAATGCACGATCTTGAAGCAAAGTTTCCAGTTACATTAGTCACCGTGATTTCATTTGTACTTTTTTTCCTGAAAGGAACATCACGTTCCTTACAAGAATCAACTGAGATTAAGTTGTGAAGCAAAGAATTATGGCACAATAAATAGCAGCAAACTGGTTTGTCAAGGCAATGGCTCAAGTACCTGGCCTGCATAGCTGGTAAGCATGAGAATGCGTTCCACAAAACCCACCAGGTAAGGAAGCCTTCGGAAGCACTGGTATTTTGGAGTAGATTTTCAGGTCCAAGTTTCTTGAGTTACATTTCACACTGTTAACACATCTCACCCAGAGAACATGGCGCTAACAAATTAACTTTTAAAAACCTGTGGAAATATGCCATTTTTTTTTTTTTTTACATGCATTTCACTGGCTTCTATTTAAACTTGCCTCAGTTCATTAATTGAAAAGATTAGTCTCTACTTCTCTTAAAACCAGCAAGGCATCCTTTGCCACAGGCAGTGGCTCGCTCGTTCGGCTAAGACGACAGCGTACCTGGTCTATCACACGGGCACTCCTCAGTGTTCCTGCCTCCCCTCTGAGTGACCACCTCAGCTCTGTAATTAAGACCTTCTGCAGCCTACGTGAGTTTATAATGAACTTAACAGCAGGCAGAGGGAATCTCTCTGCCCGAAGGGTGGGATTTGTCCAAAAGGGATGCGGCCGTACCATTTGCCACTGAAGTTCAGATGCTTCTGAGGTGAAGGCCACGTGCTGTCTAATGCTACATAAAACATGTTTACAAATTTTTTAGATGTCTATTGAAGTTCTGGAGTTATTAGCTCATTTTCACAAAATAGGAACAGAGCGTGCTGAATTAAAAAAACCCAAAACAATCAGATCGTTTTCATTCTGAGCATTCACCCAGACTGATGGCAGACAGTTTTGTGGATGGTGTGTGCTTTGAGAAAGATTTCTTTTACTAGTTTTCTGGGAATTCTTAATCCACATTTGAAACTGCCACTTCAAAGAAAATATGATCGTGCTTAAAAGCAATATGCTTAGTGTGACTTCATAAACAATCCTGCAGCTGTAGGTAAAAAAAAAAAAAAAATTAAACGGAAAGATTTAAGAGCCAAGAGAAAACCCACAACACACATGATAATTAAACATTGTAAACGGGCTAGGTTTGGCCTAAAACCAGCAACAAAGTATTTTACAGACGATCAGTAAGTCAAACTCCTCTTTAAGTGACAGAATACCAAACTCTCACACAGAGTCTTTCCTCACAAAAGCTTATGAACCTAACACAACCAGAGAGAAAACATTATCCTCCTCTAGCCTTTTAGACAGCATGAATACAGCTTTAAACTATTAACTGGTAGAACAGGTTGATAATTACCAGCCTCACGTGAGCTACCAGTATCTCTGTAATCCTCGTCAGCTTGGATTTCAAGACTCTCGCTAGCTTCAGCTTCTTAAATCCACCCGTGTCCCCTTTTCTCCAACTAGCTCCAACCTTGTTCCTTCCAACGCGGCTGGCGCAGCACAGCTGGCACTTGCCCCACTGCTGCCAACGCCCACCCTTCGTACCTCGTATTTATTTGTACGCTAGCGACCACCAATGTTTTCCAAATTTTTTCGTAAAGAGCCTCTTAATTTCCTGCCACATTTTCTTTTCCTTTGCTTTCTCTATTTAATTAATAAAAGGAGTATTTTGTGATCCTTTTATAACAGACACCTAGACAAAACTGTAAAATCAAATTACCCTAGATTATATTAAAGAAAGCCTGGTTACGGCAAGCTTAGAGCGCAATGCCAGCCGCATCCAGGAACAGAAGGAAACAACTGCTGAGCTATGGGCAAGGGCTGCAGGTGAATCATTTCTGCTTTTTGACTAAGACTTGTGTAGTTATCGAGAAATTCTCTCTGGCCTATAAAATCAAATATTCCTCAGACTTTATCTCATAACTTAATCTTCTGTCTAGATTTTAGTTGTCCTGTATATTAATATGTTCATTATCTTAACGTATTGTGCTTAGACATTTCCTATTGTGTCAGAGCAATATCCCAGACAAAAAAAAAAAAGTCTTAAGTCATTTTGTCAGATAGAATTTGATTAAAATAAAGTCACCGACCATTAAATAGAACTATATTTTAACTTAATAATAAGGGACTTAATACAAGCTATTGTTTAATATGTTCTATGCTCCACTCTAAAAGAAATTGATGAGGTAATGCTAGCAGACAGCTTGAGAAAACTCAAGGATACCGGGACATTCCAAAAATCTTACTGTCTCCCGAGAACATTTTTTAACTCTGACATCAACCATCTAATAAAATCTGAATCCAGCAGAGGTCTTGTGAATGTATTCAAAGTAATTTAATGCAAAATTATCTCCAAGACATATGAAGTCGGAAAAACCTACTAGTTTTGGCTCAAAGATTTGCAGGAGAATAAATCTTTGGAAATATACCTGACCTAGTAGCAGTGCCGACCGAAAGTTAGTAACAAATCATCTGGTGTGACAGATCCTAAGAAAAGCTAACTAATGGTGGTTAAAAGTAGCCACATTCCTCTCCT